AAAAAGAAAAAAGCCGGAAGTGGCGCTGTGGCTCAAGTGGTAGAGTGCTAGCCTCGAGCTGAAGAGCTGAGGGCAGCGCCCAGGCCCAAAGTTCAGGCCCCACGACCGGACCCAAAAAAAAAAAAAGAAAGAAAGAAAGAAAGAAAAAGAAAATACTCTATTCCTGATGACATAATTTTTCAGTTTGACCTATAAGGTTTTATGTTCTAAAATCTATAAAAGTTAGTTCACTGCATTGTTTATAAACTGCTGAGTTTTGCAGGACTTGATTTCACCAGTGGAAAGAATCAGGATCTTATTACAATCTATATTTCCAAACAGCTAAAAAAAATCCTCTACCATAATTGCATATTATGAATTTTTAGATCTCTTCACATTTACCTCTTTACTTTGATATTTAGGCAATTACATGTTTTTACATAGATCAATATTTTGTAAGAGTTAGGGATACAGTTCACTGGTAAGGCAACTTGCCTAGCAAGTGCAAATCCTTGAGTTTTAGTCTCAACACCACCAAGACAAAACAAAATTATTTTGTTTAGAAAAACATTGAATAAGCACTGGAAATTGTTCTGTTCATGATCTGATGATATCTCAGGTTATCCAGCTAATTCTCTAGACTACAAAAATGAAAGAAATTATATTACCTTAACAAGAATAAAGCAAAAAATTACTACAGCATATTCATAATTATTGTTGCCATCTAAATAAATCATAAGTATAAACAGCAGTTAACAATTACTTAAATGGTTTCAATAGTATTAAATCAACTAATGCATTTCTGTTTTTTCAGCCTTCATTACTATGCATCTTTTTGGCCAGACCATTAATGTGTGGATAGGCTTACAAGATGATGATTATGAAAGATGGTTAAGTGGAAAGCCTGTAGTATATTCTAACTGGTCTCCATTTGATGTAATAAATGTAAGTTTTAAGATTCCATATTTAGAAATCATTTAGGAAGAGATCTTATTCAAGCCTTGCTTACTAAAGATATGTTCTTTCTATATTTGGTAGGTATAATTTTTATTGGTTTACCAGTTTATGAATTTTTAATAATGCAATTTCATACATTTTTGTGTTTTTATAAATATAATTTTTCACAATGATTATTTTAAACTTATAAAATGATTTATGAACGGGTTTATGAAATGTAAGGAAATGTTTTAATGTTTTAAAATTTTAAAAATCTGTCCTAAGCAAAATTTTCAATATTAATATTATATGTTACATATTAATGGTATTTTTATAACGTGTATTCTATTAAAGATTCCAAGTCATAACACTGCTGAAGTTCGGAAACACATTCCTCTCTGTGCCCTGCTGTCAAGTAATCCTAATTTTCATTTCACTGGAAAATGGTACTTTGATGACTGTGAAAAAGAATCGTATGGGTTTGTTTGTGAAAGAATTCAGGGTAAGAAATACTGGGGTGCTTATTCTTTTCATTTCCTTGGCCCATCTTATCTTCCTTATTTGTTTTATGCAGCTGTATAACAAACAGATTCACAGCTAAGTATGTGGGATACTTGTTGTTTGACTTTGCATACATTTGTTCATTTAATCTCCACTTCCCTAGGACTATTCCTTTAGTTGTCTTCTAAGGACTGTTGAGGCCACTTGGCTGATGACCAGGGTTGTGATCCACTTTTAGTGTCATACAGTAGCTTTATTGTTTTGTTTTGGAATTATTTATCTATATATTAGTCTTTTCCAGTACTATAATGAAGTTCATGGACTAACATATAAAAAATACTTTATTTTGGCTCAGGTTCTTGTCTAAAGTCAAGGGCCCTCATCAAATGATAATTCTCTTCCTAGCAGAGTCCTAAGGGGGCAAAGGGCATCACATGGTGAGGTACAGGAGCTCATGTGGGTATCTCTTTTGGTCAATCTCCCTCTTTTCATAAGGCTACCAATATACAATCATGGGAACTCCACCTTGATCACTTTATCTACTCCTAATCAACTCCCAAAGGCCTTACCTCTAAACCTTATATAGTCAGATTAGGTTTCCACCCTTTAAATACCTCACAATAGAGATTAAATTTCAACACATAACTCTTTGGGGGACACATTGCAATTAGATCTAAACCATAGCAGTCTATTGAGATAATATTTTTAAAGTCACCCAGAAAATGTTGTAAAAGACTCAAAGAAACCACCAAGAAGCAGTGGCTCATACTTATAATCCTAGTTATTCAGGAGGCTGATATCTGAGGATCACAGTTTAAAGATAGCCTAGGCAAGAAAGTCCTTGAGACTCCAGTTAATCAACAAAAAAAGCCAACAATGGTGGTATGACACAAGTGGTAGAGTGCTAGCCTTAAGCACAAAAGCTCAGAGGCAGTAACCAGGTCCTGAGTTCAAGTCCCAGTTCTGGCATTTAAAAAAAACTATCAATAATCAAGGAAACAAACCAACTCATATTTGCCCCTAGCATGATCTCTGTAGCCAGATACCACAAGTCGTGTATTTTGAGTCCTGATAGATAAACCTCACTCCCCAATGAGTTCTGGTGTGAAATACCAACGTCATATGTATTAGTCAGCATTGGTCCTACTGATGTGGGACTGTGGTAAAGCAGTGCCCAGGTGGGGGCATGTAGTAGAGCAAAGCCCCTCACCTTATGGCCAGGAAGCAAAAAGAAAGAAAGAAGAAGCATTGTGGGGCCCCACAGTCCCCTTTGAAGCATGCCTTTAATGACCTAAAGCCCTCAAAACAAGCCTCAACTCTTAAAGATTCTACTCCCTCCCCTCCCCCCAGCACCATATTGGGGACCAATCTTTTAATTCAAGAGCTTTGGGGAGATATTTACTATCCTAATCATGGCACTTTACTATCACAAATAGCAAATGGGAGTTCGTGAGCAGGATCAATACCTTGTGAATGACCACAGCCATTGCATTGACCTAGTGCTCTACCATACCAGCTTAGAAGACCGATTTGTGTCTGGGGAAGATGGGTCCCCTGGGCAGCCTAGCATATGTATGCGCACTGGGGATATGAATTAGGTTTTTCTTTTTAGTGTCACATGACTGTGGGCTCTTTAATATACCATCGACCCTATCCTCAGGAACACAGTTCCAGCAAAGCTCCATTCCTGCCTCTCAGAACTAAAGGATACATAATAAGTACTGAATTAATGAAAAGAGTAGATCTTTAATTGCAATATGGGAAGAGAATAGCCTTGTAGGGAAGAGAATTATATCTGTAAATTACATACTAGACACTCATAATGGCACACTGCCATATTGCCTTGGGTTTATGAACACTGTGCTATAAAATCCTCAAGACAATTCTGTGAAATAGGACTAAGTCTTCCCATTTCATAGATAAAGAATTTACGCTTAGCTCAGTAACATATCAGATTTCTCAGTTGAATACCGTGATTTTCTTCTCCTACTGTGATTTTGATCTCTTCTGGAGCATTGCTCTCTGATCTTTTGGAGACTCTGATATTTGGGGACTAAAAAACAGATATCCCTGGAATGCAGTATAGAAAAGTGGTAGAGAGACCACAGGCACAGAGTGTCTACCCTGTATAGATACCCCCCCACCACTATAAATAAACTTCAATGACTTACCTTCCATGAACTTTGATACCAGCATCTATAAAATAAATAATAATTTCCCATATATTATAAATATATAAAGCTTAGCACACTTCTTGCCATATATTTAACAAATGATAACATTTTTAAATTATTATTATTTCTGAAAAGTGTCACTGAGCTTATTTTTGCAGATTATAGTGAATTCCAAGTTCTGCTTTTCTTCTGTGAACATACATGTTTACATGGACCTTGAGCCCACAGTTCTTACCTGCCTGAAAGAATAAAGAAATATGAATGAAAAGAGACACCAAAGCAGTCAAGACTATCCCATCTCACCCCTGATGCAAACACACACACTGTTTGAAACTTGATTTCCAACAGATCTTTCTTTTCCAGGACAGTAAATGACAAAAATACCATGTACATTTGAGATTTATGGAGCCAATTACACATGGAGAAACTCACATACCTGAAAGTACAAATATATAACTCAGTAAGGGAAGGGTAAAATTGATATTTGCCTCATATATACAAGGAATTTCAGTACTTCAATTTTTACTAATGGTTGTCATTTTTAAATAGCTACTTGGGTATTATACTGATTTTGTATAAGTAACCAGGGACTGGCTACATCGCTGTAAACAGATCTCTAGCAAAAAATCGAATCAATAATAAAAGTACAGCCCATTACAAGTTAGTTAATAAGTAGGTTAATTTTACTTGGTTTGCTAATATGTGCCTGCTATATTAAGGTAATTTTCTCAGGTGAAAGCCAACTTTCCAGTTTGCCTTTTTATTTATGTATTTTTTCTTATGCACTGGAGTTTTTAGGCTTTGAATTTTCACATGGCTTTTCCACTCATGATTAGCACTCTATCATTTGAGCCATGCTTCTACTTCAGGCCTTTCACTAGTTACATGAAGATAAGAGTGTCATGGATATTCTGCTGCACCAGCTCTGAACTGCAATCCTCAGATCTCAGCCTCCTGAGTAGCTAGAATTATAGGCATGGGAAGTCAGCTGTAGGCTATTTTTATTGAGGGGGAATGTGTCCAGAGGAGGCAGGAGGAAAAAGAAACATTTGCTAAGTGATTGTTGTGTCTCAGGTACATTATCATGTATCCTAGCTGGATATGTCAAGATATTTTATCTACAGGAAGGCTTTAATTCAGTCATAAAATTTAAGGTTAAGGAAGATACAACCACAGTCTCTTAGCCAGTAGAAGAAACAGGATTAAATCAACAGTCTTCTGTTCTACCACAACTCTTTCTAATCCCAAATTCAAGTCGTTTCATCATTCATTTTCATGTTTTGGTTTTTCTAAACTCAGTCTATCCTAGGTAGGTAATACAAGAAGGAAAAAAAGGAAAATGTACCTATTAAAGGGGAAATATCTGAAGGTCAAATACAGGCTAGCTTTTCTCTGGATCAAAGCCACTTAGGAACAGGCTAGCATCAATGATCATGTGTCAGAAACTCTTGTCTTTTACTTTGTAAATCTTGACTTTGAAAAGTGACATATTAATAGCTGCTGCTTGAAGGAGTTGTGTGCGTGTCTAGCATTTATTAACTTCAAGACTTTTTTCATTCTTCCTAGAATGTACACATTCTAGTGAATATAATAAATCTCAAAAGTATAACCAAATGTTTGATCTGAGAATGTGCACTTGTAAAATTAGCTGTGCAATACAATATATGAGTACACAGCACAAGTTAATATGCTGTTATTAAGTTCCACCAAAGCAGCATATGAGGCAGAGAGTATGGCTAGTGGCACAAATCTGGATTAAGCAATCACTAGCAACTTGACCCAAAAGGGTCATTTTGACAAAGGATAGTAAAAGGAAATCTTGTAGAAATGACTTAAATCGTGTATATATGTTTGAAGATATTCATTCACTAAATTTCTTAAATGTTAAAATGCTTTAGCATTGCTTGACTTTCAGGTAATACCTTCATTTTGAAATAGTTAATTCTGAGCCCTGGTAGTCATGGCATGCCTCTCAGGTGGCTTATATGCAGAAAATGGTGGTTCAGAGCCAATCCATGTGGAAAAGTTTGGTAGATTCCATTTCCACAATAAGCAGAACAAAGTAGGGTTAGAGAACAGTTCAAGTGGTAAAATGTCAACAAAGCAAGTGTAAGGCCCTGAGTTCAAACCCAAATACTGCCAGAAAGAAAAGAAAAAGAAAGAAAGAGAGAAAAAAGAGAGAGGGAGAAAGGAAGGGAGAAAGGAAGAAAGAAAAAGAGAAAGAGACACAAAGAAAGAAAGAAAGAAAGAAAGAAAGAAAGAAAGAAAGAAAGAAAGAAAGAAAGAAAGAAGGAAGGAAGGAAGGAAGGAAGGAAAAGGGGGAAGGGGAGGTAGGGAGGGGGAGACAGGGAAGAAAAAAGAAGAGAGGAAGGAAGGAAGGAAAGAAAGAAGGAAGGAAAGAAGGAAGGAAGGAAGGAAGGAAGGAAGGAGAAAGGGAGGAAGGAAGGAAATAGACCATGGTGAAATGAATCCATGCTATTTTCTGCCTCCTTTCTCATGCAGATGCTACAAATGGTCTTTGTAGATTCTCTGAAAATTTCCAGGCACCCTTGAATCATGTCTCATATATGTACCAGAAATATTTTAAACTCAACTACTATATTTATTGCATTTGAGGAATTTGCACAAAAATAATTCATGCTTCCTAGGTAGAAACTAATGTGAGGTTTGTTTTGTTCCTCTAGGGATGTAATTCCAAAAATACATTTTTTATTGTCAAGGTTATGTACAGAAGAGTTACAATTATATGTTAGAGAATAAATACATTCCTTGTCTTTTTTCTCCCACTTTCCTTCCCCACCCCATTTCTCCCCCCAAATTGTACAGATCATTTCCAATATTTGTCTTGTGAGTATCGCTGTTGCATTGTTTGATTTGTTTTTATTTTGCCTTTTTAAGATAGAAGTATTACTTAAAGTAATGAAAAGTAAAATTCTATTCTATGCTAACCCTTAATTCTATACCATGATGTCACCATGATCTAGTGACAGGAATCCATGCTATATTCTGCCTCCTTTCTCATCCAGGTACTACAAATGCTTTTGTTGTTTTTGTCCTAGATTCTTCTGAACACCATATAAATACATCTGATATGTATCCAATCCCCAGTACCTTAGCATATGGAAACAGAACTTACAAAATAATTAATACAAATGTGACCTGGCATGGAGCAGTAAAAACCTGCCAGGTGCATGGAGCAGAACTGGTCAGCATTTCAGACCAGTATCATCAGTCCTTCCTTACCGTCATCCTCAACCGACTAGGATACGCCCACTGGATCGGGCTGTTCACGGCAAATGTAGGTGTCCTAAATTCCCTGGGGAAACTCTTTTTTTTGGGGGGGGGGATGGGAGGTCCGGTGGTGGAGCCTGAACTCTGGGCCTGGGCGCTGTCCCTAAGCTCTTCAGCTCAAGACTAGCACTCTACCACTTGAGCCACAGCGCCACTTGCAGCTTTTTTTTTCTGCTTATGTGGTGCTGAGGAATCGAACCCAGGGCCTCATGCATGCAAGGCAAGCACTCTACCATTGAGCCACCTTCCCAGCCCTGGGGAAACTTTCATAATCAAGTTTCACTTCTACTTGCTCAGCACAGAAAACCATTTCCCAGAAATACAGTAAATGCAATTTGTACATAATTTGCTTATATAAAAAATATTGACCAGCCTTAGGAAAAGCCTAGAACTACAACAACAACAAAAACCCCGGGAGTATAGATCAGGTTATTATAAACAATCACTTGTGCAGTCTTCAGACAAAATGGTCTTTGTGGATTCTCTAAAAATTTCGAAGCACCTTTGAATCATGTCTCATATAGGTACTGGGAAACATTTTAAACTCAGCTACTATATGTATTGCACTAAAAGAATTCCAACAAACAGTAACTCATGCTTCCTATTAGAAACTTGATTATTCATTAATTGAGTAGCCTTTGAATTTAACATGGGGTTTTGTTTTGTTTCTCTAGGGATGTAATTTCAAAAATAGATTTTATTTGTTTTTATTTTGGCTTTTTCGCATAAAAGAATTACTCAGAGTAATGAAGAATAAAATTCTATTTTATTCTAAGCCTTAGTTCTATACCACAATGTTATCGTCAGTAGTTTCTCGTGTGCCAACCAGAAATTTTCTCCACATATACACATATGGACCTGTAAGAGATGAATTTGTATATTATTTTGAAATAGAGATGAGATCATGTTTTACGTGCTGCCCTTAAACTTGTCTTTTCATTTAACATTTTTCATAATTTCCCAAGTGAGCACATAAAAATCTCATGTATTCTTTGGATATGCTGCAAGTTAGTAAACCTTTCTCCTGTGAATGGGCACATGGGCTGTTCTTTTTTTCACAGTTGTCAGCAAAGCACAGCAAATATCCTTGTCAGCTGAGGACAATTCAAGTTTTAACACATGCTGCCCAGTTGCCCTCCAAAAGTGTGCACCACTTTATATGCCATAGGATGACATCTACAGTTTTCATATCCTTACTGTATTACCAAGATTAAATCTTCGATCACTGGGATCTATTGTCTGCTTGCACTACAGTATTTTAAGTTTATCTAGTTAATTTTCCTCTATGGTCTCTGGATTCTCCATGCCATAAAACGATTTCCCACAAACCAAAGTATTTTTAAAAATTAGTTGTTTCCTCTAATATTTTATGTTTGTTTTCAATTTTTTGTTTGAATCTTTGACCTGGAATTCATTTTTTTATAAAGAGCAAGTTATTGGTCCCATTTCCTTCTGATTACTTACCAGGAAATTATAGTGGCAAGAAGCCAAAGATACCTGAAACCAAAAAAGATGGCATTCGTTGTAAATATTCCTTTTTGTCAGGCTACATTCATAAACTATCCTAGTGCCTCTGGGAAAATCATGTAAATAATCTGGTGCCAGTGGCCTGTAATCCTATTTACTCAGGAGGCTAAGATCTGAGGATCACAGTTTGAAGCCAGCCTACGCAGAAAAGTCCCCATGAGACTCTTATCTTTAATTAACCAATCAAAAAACAGATGTGGAGCTATGGCTTTAAGTAGTAGAGTGCTTGCCTTGAGCAAAAGTGCTCAGGGACAGCACCCAAGCCTGAGTTCAAGCCCCAGACCACCACCAACAACAACCGTGACAACAACAACAAAAAGCATGGAACTAGAAATCTGATGATATCAACAACAATCTTGGCAAGGAAATGATGGCTCAATTTCCCTCCACAGAATGGTCTTAGTTTTGACTGGTCAGATGGGACCATATCTACTTTCTCATTTTGGGAAGAAGAGGAGCCATCCTTCCTTGGTGACTGTGTTTTTGCTGATACTAATGGACGCTGGCATACCGCAGCCTGTGAGTCATTTCTGCAAGGTGCCATTTGTCATGTGCCCCCTGGTAGGTACAATTCTATTCAACTCAAGAACTACATACTGCTGTTCTGAGCAAGGATTTTGAGCATGAGTAGTAAGAAGTCTCTGCCCTCAAGAAGTTTCTGGTCTGCTCAGAGATATAAATATGAATAATTGCTATACCAGACATGGCTACAAAATGAGGAAAGATAGTAAATGATATGAGGATTATCATATGTATTTGAGAAAAGGCAGACAATCTTCTTGAAGTATCATAAAGCTAGAAGCTGAGCCTTGAAGAATAGGAGAAATGCAAAAGGGCAATCTTAGAAAATGGAAAAGCAGTCTGAGAGAAAAGCTTGAGCAGCCACAGAGCAATGGCAGGACTGGGCGTGTATGAGGCAAAGTTCAGGTTAATATTTGCCTAGATCACAAGTTAGGGTAGAGGGAGAGGTGGCAAATCAGATTAGAAACTGGGCCCTTGTGTATGAAGGACCTTGACTGAGGATCTACTTTTAAGACAAAAATTAATAGGATTCTAGAACCTGTCTGGTCCTACACTTAGCCTCATTCACATAAAATTCACCTGGCCAACCCCTCTACAAAAATTAAATAAGCATTACACTGTTCCAGAATACTTTAGGAAGATTCCAGCTGTCCATCAATAGTATCAAGAACAGAAGCCACGTTTCCTCCTTCACTGATGTGCTGTTTATCCCATTTTACCAAGTCCTCTCTCCATCTATTACTACAATGTGTGTAGAGTCCTTTAACATTTGTTGGACTTCTTTTAAATCTGTCATTTTGTTAAAGTGCATTGCTTACTATATTCGTGGTGCTATATCAAATAGCATACACACGCAACTGTAAATTAAAACAATTCAGGATCAAATATATTATCTGCATAAATAAATGTATTTATAACTGAATATCTGTATAAATAAACATTTAGAAAAAATTACTTTGGTTTCTAAGACATCCTAAAAGCTGTCCTCTTTTTGATAAGATTGCATCCATTCAGGGCTTAGGAAGTATCAGGTGCCAACTTGTCAAATTGTAAGAAAGGAAATTATTGGTTCATTTTTAATAGATAAAGAAATCAAAGGACACCTCTAAGGCCAGGTCAATGATCTCAGCACACAAATGTCTGGTTCTCAGGCCTGTCCTCTCAAATAAGTTTTATTTTATGCTATGTTATTTTATGATACATTATGATGCTTCACTCATATTTTCCCTCATAGGCTTGCTACCAGGTAAGATTTTTTTTAACCTGTGATACTCAGCACAGAATGGAACCCATTTTATACATTTTTGAAACCCTTTTTCTAGCATCTTTCTACTGACACTCTTTCAGCTGCAACATCCTCCAGACCTCCCAACCTTTAGGAAGGATACCAGTCATAAATATAAAAGACAGCCACTTCATCTAACCAACCCTCAAACTAAGCCTATAAACCCCACTATGTTTAGGAAAATATTGTTTCTGCCAGGAAAGCAAAAGAAAAAAGAAACTAGCTGGTTTGTAATCATTTACATTAAATCTATTCTTTCAGACTCACATATATTTCTTTTGGTTTTTCACAGAATGTAATAAAAGGTTTATCTCAATGTATGAACCCAGTCATAACCCTGAAATAATAACTGCTTTTTCCTCATAGAAACAAAGCCATTTGAGCATCCATTGTTGTGTTCAGAAACATCTATTCCTTGGATAAAATTTAAAAGTAATTGCTACAGCTTTTCTACAGTCCTAGACAGTTTGAGTTTTGAGGCTGCTCATGAATTTTGCAAAAAGGAAGGTAATTCTTTTGTGATGCTAAAATGCTTTCATGTGCTCCTTCTTGATGTTTTAGTAAACAACGGAGTCTTTGTCACTTGCTGATTATTTAGTGACTTTAGAAGCAATAAAAACTTTTGGGAAAAAAACTACTGAAAATGCTTACTTGAGAGGAAACTAATAAATGCAATTCAATGTCCAGTGTAGCATTTGAAAACTCAACATGATGCATCTTCGAAGAAAATACTCCCTTTGAACTGTAATGAATTTTTAATGTTTTTAAAGTTAACATTTCAAGATTTTGTGGTTTTATTTTTAAAATTGCAACCAAAATCACTTATTAATACTGGAAAATTGGCAGGCACCATTGGCTCATGACTGTAATCCCCCTACTCAGGAGGCTGAGATCTGAGATCTCAGTTTAAAGCCAGCACAGAAAAAAGTCTGTGAGACTTGATCTCCAGTTAACCAGAAACATGCCAGACTGATGGTGTGACCACAATGATATAAATCCAGCCATGAGCAAAAAAGCTAGGCAAGAGTAAAAGGCCCTGAGTTCAAGCCCTAGTATTAGCATAAAAAAAAAGAAAAGAAAAGAAAGAGGGACAGAGGGAAGAAGGGAAGGAGGAAAGGAAGAAGGGAGGCAGGGAGGGAATGAGGGAGGGAGGAAGGAAGGAAGAAAGAAAGAAAGAAAGAAAGAAAGAAAGAAAGAAAGAAAGAAAGAAAGAAAGAAAGAAAGAAAG